CATTATTCTGAACGCGTCAAAATTGATGTTCTTAGGACACACCCTTTGTGAATTTTATGGTGGGAAAGAAAACCTTTGAGAAAAGGCATCAAAAATAGTGACGCTATATATCAATCTTATATTACTGCGCCGCATATTGTGCCCATAATTTTAATGGAGCACAGGAACAAAGGAAACTTTCAAAAAATAGTAAAATTACAGTGAACCTTCATAAGTGCACCCTCTATAAGTGCACACCCTCTTTAAATGCACGCATAAATTCAGGCCCAAATATATACATGCCCTTCACAAATGCACATTTTCTTATTTTTCTCTAAGTGCACATCGTTAAGTTCGGTCCCAAGAGCGTGCACTTATGGTGGTTTACTGTATATGTAACATCAAATGGCAACTTTGAACGATAAACAACTCCAAGATCATTGTATCCTAATCTCTTATTGCACTAAACCGGTTCAAGTATCAATATGAAAGCCGATTATGGATTATTTGTAGTGTTGTTAAGCCGGCTAAGCTGGCTTAGCCGGCTAAGCCAGCCAATATAAAAGGGTCGGGTGGTTAATGTGGCCAAAGGTCATATTATTATAAGTAGTTAAAATTCTGATAAGTTCCGAAAATAAAAATAGATGAACATGAAAGGTTCCGTAAGGTAAGCCGATATTTTGGTCGGCTGGCTTAGTCAGCATTCAGCTTACAATACTAAATATTTGAAGGAACAGTGTAACATGAAAGGTTCATATAATATATAAACATAAATGCGCCATGATGATATATTGTCTAAAAATTTTTTAGTATATAGTTCATAAAATGCGGATAAGAATTTAAGCTTCTTTTGCAATTGGATAGTAAGGAAATCGCACGTATTAAATGTTTGCAATCAGAGTAAACCTCAGAAATTCATGTTTTAGAAATGCTTCTGTGCTTTGAAACTCCAACTTTATCAGAAAATTAACGCTAGGTAAACTATGAAGACTCCATGTTACGCTATGCAAACAGATGTTATGCATAGCGGAAGATCGATTTTTATTGGTTGATCAGAAGGTTTTTGATTGGCTAAAAGTAATCTCAAGTTCGATTTTACTGGCTGATCAACAAGAATTTGATTGGCTAAAATTAAAGAACATTCTTTATATTACCATTTCTTTAGATATCCCGGTATAGTGCAGTAGTGTGAACCAGGCTGATATAACTTGTGCACGTGAAATTATAAATTTTAATGTCGCTTCGTTCTATGTAAAAATTTAAATATAATAACTTTGTGTTACATATTGGTATTGACAGAATCGCTCTAAGACAAGTTGGTGGAACAACTGGATTCAACTGGATGTCAAACACGAATATGAAAGTTAAGTTTTTAAAACAGAATCTGGCGAAATTTTAAGCCATATTAATTCTAGAAAAGAAATTTCTCTCAAGTTGAAAGCTTTACTATAAACAATAAAAAATCTGTGTAACAATGTTTTTTCAATAAGAATAAACAACCAATTATAACAAACCTTACTTATGCTTTGTATCATCTTTTACGTAATTTTCTCACGTAAAACTTGAATCTTTTTGAATAGTTATTTCGGTTTAACTTTGTACCATGTAGGATTGCAGTTCGTGGCCTATTCTGATCGATTTGATCACAAACGCTTATATGAAAGATATGGTTTTGAAATATTATTTTCTTGCTAATGTTTTTTTTGTTTCGGATTATAAGTTCTATTGTAAACAATATAAAAAGGTTGTGTAATGGTGTTTTTTCAGTATAAATAAACTTATTTCTAAAAAGTCTCATGGGTTTTGAGGTGGGCTCATAAATTGAGTCAACAAATTTGACATGTGATTTTAAAGTAAATTTTTATCGGAAAGTCTACGGACACGTATTAGTCGCATGACCCTAACCTATCTAAATGTTATGGACACGTACCAATCGCCGATCTTAGTTTAGGGTACGTGTGATTTCAAATGACTTGTACGTGTCGTAGACTTTCCCATTTTTATTTATACCCAATTAACATGGGACTATTTGTATATTTTGGGGGCCAATTGGATATGATTATTATTTACGTTTAACTATTTTTTTAAACTGCGGTATTCTCAATGTAGCTTTCAACCTATTTATGATTTCTACAGGAACATTACCATTTTCCTTCTTTTTGTTAATATAATTACGAAGCCTTTGCACTTCATTCTCATATTTTTCCTGGGATTCACAACAAATGTCACTGGCTAGTTTTAAAAATAATAAGTCAATAAAGAATATCGAAAATGTTAATTTAAGTATACAGTAAATGTGAACAAATTGTCAATGACATTAATAAATTGTCTGCAGGTTTGAAATGACTTGGGAAGTTCAGTTTCGCCAGTATCAAAAATAATATAAAGTCCTGAAGCGGTCAATATCATGATATATTGTCACTAGCATGCTATATAAAACCGGCGAAAGGCGAAACTGGCGAAACTCTGCCGAAACTCCTGCTAAAGTTGAAATACCTAAATCCTCTAAGGCTTCAGAAAAGACTGAGCCGTCTAATTTTTATAATATTATTGGTAAAAATATAAAAAAGTTTGAAATTTTATTTTTTTATTAAATTCATGTAACGATGATCGACGAAATTAGCCAATCAAATTGATGCGCGATAAATAAAAGAAACGGCGAGTCAGTCGCTCCACAATCCAAAATCTCGTGTAACATACGGTTGGCTTAGTCAAAAAGAGGCTTTTAGATTTGGTCGGTGGTTTGGGTCCGTAGGTAAGTGTTTCTTCTTTACTTGTCTTGGGTTTTTCTCTCTTGAGCTTTTACTAACTTTATATTCTCAATTACCTCACTACTTCGGGTAATTGATCAACACGTATAACCTCAACTATCACACTTCTTCGGATAGTTGGACTCGAGTAACCACGGTTGATCCTGGCACTTTAGGATACAACAACCAGATGGGGGTGTAACAATACTACGGGATAGAACTAGTGATGGGAAAAATGAGCATTTTATAATAACATGCGCATGAATGCGCATTAATGCGCACGAAATGTTTCATGCGTATGATATCGCATGATAAAAAAAAGGCAAAAAAAGAAAAAACGATCGAGAGGAGAGAAATCTTGATGGGATAAAATGCGCATGAAACCCATCTCTAGATAGAACAGATAATTGCAAGAATCGGGGTTTTATGGTCTGGGAATTTAGCGATTAGTTAATGTAGCAAGGGGACGTTTATGTATTTATTATTATGTAAGGGCCAGTTATTATTTTAATAAAGCAAAGTTCGGGCTCCTCCTCCCTTAGGACCTTTTGGCCTTTATTTATAAGAACAATTTACTATATACATTTTCACGCTCTATACTAACGTTGTCTAATATTACATGTACTATTATGATTACGACTACATCAGTGTTCCCTCCCTTATTGACTACTTTACTTACTTCGCCCCTTCGATCAGAAAGGACTTTTCCTAGGTTTCGGTCCTTTCTGACGATTCTGACTTTTCTAGCCGGGTTACCCTTATTTGGTTAGCCGTGTCACGTGGCACATGACTTAGCCGGATAACACTATATATATAAATAAAAATATTAATTTTCTTTAATTACCTTTCTATTCTTACTAGTTTTACTATTTTTTACTAATTTACTACCTTTTCCGATTTTGCCACCTATTAGCAGTTTCTAATTTTTTTTGCCGAAAGTCGAAACTAGTTTTGCCTTTCGTCTGTGGCGAAACTCTTAGGTTTCTCCTGCCAACACTATATGTGAGTACACAAAAAAAATTAGAAACATTATAATGATTATGAAATGAACACTTATCTATTGTTTGCCACACAAAAATCATATGATCTTCCCCAAGAGCATCCTTTATGAAAATGCCTAGCATGATAAGATCCAAGTTGTTTTTCTTTTCATTGTTGTTCTTTCCTCCTTCTGTTATCTTACCAAACATAATTTCGTATTTGGATTTGTTGTTATTTCCAATCATGTCTGGTTGCTTTACTCGTGAGGGATCTAGATCGGCAAGTTTATGGATTTTACTACTCATACTGGCAGTGTTGTGCCAAATGGTCGGATGTATTGAAGCATCGTGAAAGAAAGAGCGCAATACTGGACTAATTATGTTGGCAGTCAGAGTGCCCTCACTGAGAAGGTCTTCCAATGGCTTAACAGAAATATTTTTCGTTCTGTGAAATAGATAAAAAATGTTATAACCAGCTAGACATACAAGAAATAAAAAGCATCATGAATTTGGACTTACAACTGTAGAAAGATAAACCGCATCCTTTCAAACTTTTTCTGGTCAATAGGGTTATCAAAAGACTTTGTGAATGATCGTTCTACGCTTCTTTCAGTCCAAGATCTTAATCAAATGCGGTCTAATACACCAAAACCATCATATAAAAAGTTATAACATGTAACATCAATACAATAATACATTACCTCAATACATTCTCGAAATATTGTCTTTACGCCTTGCACAACTTTGTTTTCACTATACAGTCAAACTTCTCTATAATCACACCCTTGGTTTTAAGAATTTGATGCTTATAGAGATTGTGCCTATATAGAGGTTAAATTTTATATGTATCATATAAGTTGGTTTTAAAAATTTCTGGACTATAAGCAAATGTGACTATAGAGGAGGTGCCTATAGAGAGGTCTAACTGTATATGTATTGCGCATATGTTTGTGAAAGTCTACAAGAGTATCACCGAAGAATTGTTAAATTTGAGATCCGAGAAATTATCAGCTTGTAACAATAAAATATGCGATAATCCTAATGTTTCCAAACGAATAGTGTTAAGCTTTTGATAATTCATGCAAGAGATCCAAGGGAGACCGTCCCAAATATGGAAATAATCACCTGAGTCACCCGATAGTTATACAGTACAATTGATACCCAATTTTTTTTATACGTTTTACAATACTTTTTTTAAAAAAGCCGGGTAGCTTACCATCGGTAAAATGCGAATAAATATAACGGATGGATTAATGCTTTTACTTCCCTTTATAATATATTCATTTATCTCTGTTAATTTCTCAACTTTTTTTCAATCTGATTGGCCGGTGTACAGGTGACTTGCAAAATGTACAATATTATTGGTTTAAATTTGTGTGTAACTATATCGGAAGTCATTTCCATATTTGGGATGGTCTCAAGAGAATATGCTCTTAAGATTCAAACTTACAATATCTCACGGTAGTCTGTTTCGATAGATAAACCTGATTCTCGCGCCATTTGCCATGCTTTTAAGCGATATGATGTATATAGTGTAGATATATTCTTCTCTTGAAAAATATATTATATATTGCAAAGACACTTATTAGCAAAGATCAAACCATATTAACTGATAGAAATGAGAAGAAACTTACGGATTATCTTTACCGCTTTCATCAAAGGCAATCGAATCGTCCAAGAAAACTTTCTCTCGATCATCATCATCCGAATCATCACCATCTACATATTCATCGAATGTAAAATTCCTGATGTCTCGGTTATCTGTATCAAAATAATTATCAGTTAATTCGTCACTTCACTTCTTGTGGTTGGAGAAACGATGGAACTCGAAGAAAATATTTGGTGCTCAGGTGGTGACAACGCGTGGAGGAATTTTAACCTGGAAATAGGGTTTATAATCCTCACTATCAATTTTTCTCCGTTTTGATTCTTCATTATTATTCTAAAGATTAAAATTCATTAGGAAAATGATAAAAAAAGTAGTTCTAAATAAAATACAATACCTCTTCCTGGTTTCTCTTTGACTTATGTTCGGAAAAATTAAAAAAAAAGATCCACCGCTAATACTGCCAGAGTTGCCCATCAGAGGGTTCCTTGTAAAGGTAGGATTATGAAGGTGAAACGAGGATCCACCGGTTGGGTCGTGATTATTTCTCCATTTTCTTGCAATTTGATAATCAGTTCGATCGTCCTAATGAATATTCAAAGAATTAATAACATATCCTAACCAGTATATACCATTTTTTCTTCCTATTTTCCATCCCGCCAGGTCAGCGAGAAACCTTGAACATCAGACAACCGAGAAAGTCATCTGTGCATCAACACTGGTTTTGTGGCTCAGCGAAAAACCTTGGATGGCAAGAACAGAAAAAGCCCCTGCCACGCCACTATTTCCACTATATTTCTGACAAAAGAGATTACTTCCTTTCTATACTTGTTTAGGAACAGATTTGTTCTCTCTTTCCTTTTGCCTGTTACGTAGTCTGCGATAATATCAAGAGATTTGAGGTAACGATCTATTTTGATATCAAATTGTTTTATATCGCACTTATTAAGGAAGTCCTCAATAATCCATTCCGAAAAGGTTCGCTTAAAATATTCATGAATTCCGGACATGATTATTACAAGGTCTTAATAAAAGTAGAGTAGGATCATCAGAGTAGTAAAAAAACTGATTTTTTTACTTTTACGCCCACGTGACATTATTTAAGTTCGCTTAGGTTAGCAGAAGGTGGTTTCCTCTGCAGAAGTTATAAGCGATTTTTGTCAAAACGAAGGCTTGTTTTGAATTTTTCTGGTCGCGTAATGTTACACTAAATTGAGATCCATTATTGGCTTATATTCGTCGATCATCACGTGAGATAAACATTACTCACATAGTAATTTGGGGAATTTACAAATGAGAGTCTGAAGTGAAAATAATTACAAATACGGGCCCAAATTAAAAACAATTACACATAAGAGCCTAATGTGTAAAAAATATTACATATAAGAGCAACAGGAGGAACCGTCGATGTTACACGACTGATTCTTCACCCGGCGTGCAACATATAAAAAAATATTTTACAATACCAGATCATTCTGCTAGTACAGTTAGGGATGCACCGGTCCGTCTCGGTCCTAGTGAGACCGTTATCGTAGTATTTTTGGTCCTGGTCCGTCCACGATCCCACAAAATGGTCCTTAATGAACAAATCTTATTGGTCATAAATGACGTAATTACTTACTGTCAGATGTAAACAAACATCATATGATCCGTGTTACACATGATAAAGCAATTTGATTGGATGATATGAATATCACAAAGAACAGCATGGTGGACAACCTTGAATTTGGATAATTGACATTGTGGCTTAACCAATTTAATAAAATTTTTTTAATTTTTTATATAGTATAAAGTACTTCTTATTCTTGTGATTTTCAAAATCCATCAATTAAATTTATTTTAAAAAGAAAGTTAGCAAAATATTTTTATATAATCTATTTTATATTAAACTTAATCAAAAATAATTCCAATATTTAAGAAGTTTTATTAAAAGTAAAGTTTATAAGAGATCTAAGGTAGTTAAGCCTATAATTAAAGTATATGAAGGTATTTTAATATTAAAACTAAAAACAAATAATACAAAACTAAGATTTAGTATTTTTTAAAAAATATTAAACTAATTTCAAATAGTGTTATATAAAAAGCAGAATAAAACAGGGTGTGGTAACCTAGTGAAGTGGTCAGGTTGTCAACCTCCAAGTGGTAGGTTAAATGTTCAAATCCTATCAATAGTGAAAATTTGGATAATTACCTATATAATATTCATATTATGGCAACTGTTACTAACAATTGGGTTAGGATACCTGTAATAGTGGTTGCATCAGCATGACTGGCAGGTCATGGGACATCTGTGCAATATTGGAGTTATACAAAGAAATGCAAACTAATAAATCAGGTAGTGCAAACACTAGATAAGTTTTTGTGATCATATAAATCCATTGAAATTAGATAACAAGAAGTTCATTTAGGAAAACCCAAGTAGAAAGGTAGCTAGATCTTTGATGGTCCTACTGTAAAGACTAGTCTGGCAAAATGGATACCAAGATCTAGTATCTGTTTGTAATAGCTAGACAGACAAGAACCTCTAAATTGGAAGTCTCAGAAATACCACTAATCAGGCTGCCAGAACAAACTGAAGAAAAAGGATATTGGGCTAACCTAATATATTGATGGACTGATCATAATTCTATACAGGCTATCTGGATTGGGAGTTTGATAAAAAGGCAGAGAAAAGACAGGGGTATACTAAAGTATTGGGATTATACTATGAACTAGATATTAAGGTCTAAGTAAACTCTATAAAGACATAACAGTTTAATGATTAACTCTGACCACAAGTGTTGATTCTGCTATAGCAATACCTAGGTCAGTTATAAAAATGTTTACAGAAGGCTCTGAGGGGTTTATCTCAAGAATAAATTAGTCCTAAGATTGAGACAATAATCTGAGCATCTGAATATAACCTATTAAGTTAATACAAGTTACAAATTCAGAGGGTTTAAAGTAGAACATCTAAGCAGAGATATTAGGTATGATAATTGGTATGAGACCTTCGGGCAGACTTCTTAAATAAGTAATATAAAAAAATTATATATGTAGCCAATTATACTCTTTTCTATATGGTTTATTGAACCACAATACCAATAAATGATTAATAAAAATCAAAAGACCAAAGAGGTCACTTTAATATCAAAAAAAAAGCAGAATAAAAAAGTTATGTTAATTTATTTTTATATATTTTAAATCTAAAGTTATATATATTACAAATAAGTTTGTTATTTTATAAATTAAATTTTAATTATTTTTTTTAATGTTAAAGTAAGTACTTACAACTTAGATTTTTATTAATAGTATGTTTTAGTTTTGTGATTATATTAAATAGTTACAAAAAACAATTATAAAAAAAGTATATAACTAGTTACTTGTATAATTTTAATCATTATTTAATTTAAGTAGTCTACTTAAAAGTTCTATATTAGCTATTATATTTAGAACTTTTTATAAATCTTTTATTTAAATACTCTAATTTTTATATCTATTTACTTATCTATTTTATTAACTACTTTAATTTCTATTAATGTAATTATATTATAATTATTAAGTCTTTAAAGTAGTTTACTTATATAAGAAATCTTTGATCTTGTACTAATCTTATTAGAATATTCAATTATTTTAATTTTTAGTTAATTTGATATTTTATTATAACTAAAATCAACATATACAATTAAAATTAATTTTTAAACTACTATATTTTTGTAAAATTTATATAATTTTAGTATCTTCTTTTATAACTTATTAGTATCTTGTATATCCTTGTAATTTCTTTTATACTATTAATTTAGTTAGCTCTATATAATATTTAGTTTAATTAGTAACCAGATTAGTAGATTTCTTTATCTAAACTTCTTATTTGTACAAATCATTTAATATAGATTTTCTTCTTCAGATTAAGGTTTTTACAAATAGTATTATTAAAGATCATACTATCTTTTTACTAAAAATTTTTAAACAAAGCTTTTTATAAAATATATACTTTTCAAACTTATTTATATAATAGTATATATTTTTAAAATTAGTCTTGATATAATCAAAACTATAGTTATTAGTAAAATTTAATTCTAGATTTACTACTTAAAGAATAATAACTTAACTACTATACTAGAATTTTTATCCTCTTTAAATTTCAATTATTTTAAGTATTATGATTTAAAATATAAATAAAAATAATTTAAAAATAATTTAAAAAGTAAATTGCAGTTAAAAAATATAAAAATAATAAATTTAATAATAAAAATTACTAAAATTAATATAGTTTTTTTATAAGATTGGAATGTAAATAGCTTACAATAAAAAGTTTTTTATATTAAGTAAATTTTTTTTAAATTTTTAGCAAAGATTATATAACAAGTTATTTTGATTTTAATAATACAGATAACTTTTATTAATGTCAATTTCATTAATATAAATCTAAGCTACAAAACAAATATTCATAAATTTTTATATATTGTAATAAAATTTATTTTTTTTCTATATTAGTATATATTTATTTTTAGCTTTATATTATATCTTATATTTTTTTCTAATATTTTTACATAATTTATAGATTATTTTATTAGTTTTAATCATCTATTTAATAGGTTAATATTTATTTTATTAGTAGATTTTTTATAATATTTTATTTTAGTTAATAGTTGTTAGAATATTTAAAAATACAGTTATTTAGTATTACAAGAGTCCTGATCAAAGGTCTCAGGTCATGCCTCAGATGTCTCAGGTGTTCCAGGACACTCTAAAATGATGGAACAATTAATTAATTATATTTAATTAATATTTATTAATTGTAATGCAATATTTAGTATAGTGTTACTATATAGTTTCTATATATTACTATAGTTATTTTTAATTGTGTTTAGAAAAACATTTGTAAGAAGGTTTCTGAACATTAAATGATTATAGAGAATTTTGTAGATGAATATATGAATTACACAATAACATTTGTTTTATTTTTAGTTAATATGTAAGTTATTGCATAATGAAACACTAAGCATTGATAAAAATAGAAAGATACAGGATTGGTTTATTATTTATATACAAATATTATTGATGAAATGCATATAGAATTTCTTAATTTTTATTATATTTTGGATGTTCATATGGTTCAGGATGATATTACAATATATATTAGCTCTAAAACCAATCAATTATTAGGTTAAAAGCTATAAAAAGGATAGCTTTTTGCTCTTCTAAAAGGCAGTACTATATATAATTTCTCTTAACTTATTTTCTTATATAAAAGTTCTTTTGTATTCAAGTTATTTTTTAATTTTTTTTTTT